CAATAGAAAAGTTCTTGTATTCGACAAATTCCACATTCGTTATGTCTATCTTACTTGAACATTTAAATCAACTTTGAGTGAAGGTGGCCTTCCTTTGGTCGGGACTTTTGTTTGGCTTACATTACTGGTATTACTTTTCACTTTTGTTGTAGGCAAATTATCAAATGTAGGATATGGTTCTCCCTTAAATTTGGGACGAACTTCCTTGACACTTTTATCGCATTGAAGTAGCAAGGCTTGTACCTTTACACTACTTTCACGCACAAGTGCCTATTAATGGTATTCAATTGAATATATGGATGATGGTAAAAGCATTAGTTATTCAAAAACCTAATGTTTTTTTTTTAAAAAAAAAATTATTATTAGTGTACGCGAAATCTAAATATTTACCTTGTTTTCTAATTGTTTTGTATCATAAAATTCTTCGCGTGTTTTAATATATTCCTTTTCAATTTCTTCTTTCAAAACTGTCGATGGTTTACCATTGTACTTATTCATATTAATATTACGCGTGAATCTTAAGAGGTTTACTGTTAATTACAGAAATTAACGTACACAAATCTTATGTTGTTTTTCGTCAAATATAGATTTGATGCAGTTGATCACATTTTCAATCATATTATGAATGTTCATTTTGATTGGTTGTTAAAATATTCCGTACAGAATTTCTTTCTGTTAATTCGTCACGTACTGGAAGGGTTGCACATTTATCCATTGAGGTAAATGGAGAACAATTCCATTGACATCACTTCACTCCATTGCTCCATTGAGAATAATTTGCGAATGGAGTCAATGTAAACCAACTAGCTTATAATATATTAATAACTTGGGAATTGGCAGAAATCAGATGATTTCAATTTATTATTTTTTAATTTGTAATTTTTTAAATAAAAATTTAAATAAGTATCATAAGTTACTTTATGTTATGTTAAACAAAGAATTAAATTGGAGTGGCCTTATTATTTACGTAGCAGGCAATAACTATTTAGTATTATAAGTGCAGACATTTGGTGATGTCGTAACTGATTTTAACGTCTTCAGAGACGTAACTTAAGACGTGATAATACTTCTCTTCGCTCTGAAAAATTAATGTAAACCATTACGGTAAAACAATGGATATTAATTTTTGAAAAGAAAATAAAAATTAGCGAATCAAAAATTATATATTGTTTATTTATTATACTACTATAAACCTTTCTGCAAATGCATTTATTTTTTGTTTGATATTTTTAATTACAGTAATTAATATGCAATTATTTAACGATTACCGAGATTTTGTCTTGAAATAATGTGAATTGATATTTTATAACTGTTTTCATAAATTCAGAGACAAATTAAAATTTTTTGTTCGTTACTGAAATCACCTTCTGATTCACGAAATAAACATCTATAACTACCAGTTTTTTCGGAATATAATCTCCAAAAATTGTGTAAAACTGATTTTTACTACATGCAACAGAAACGGTCTTTTTCCAGCATTCTTAAAACCTTTAGGCAGCTAACGATTAATCACAGTCAAAATTCATGTATACAGTAAAAAATGTTTTTTTTTTTTGAA